AATTGTACAGTAAAAACAAAGAGCTGTAACTACATATATAAGACTTATACGTAATACATATATGTCACTACGGCTCAAACTGCCGCTTTCTTTACGGCCGTTATTAATTTGCTTTAGGCAGTCAATAGTTTAAACCAAGTACTTTAGTTCTCATTTTATAATGGTTGAAAATAGTTTTTCTCTATTGATATATGAAAATCGGGCAATAATAAAGAAATTGAATAAGGTATTACTCAAATCATCAATAAATATCAACTTATCATAAATATTCAAGTATTTGAGTTATATTCTTATTAAAATTAAACTAAAAATGGTAGCCGCCTGTAGTGCATGGTCTGTTCAGAGCCTTAGTATACGCTACTTTATCTCGTTGACTCGATCACGGCAATTATATGAGGATACGTTTAGCTTTTGAACTCTTTTTGAAAAATATCACGAGAAATAAGATTTTAAAAAGCTTTATATTTAAGCTAGTTTTCGTGAATCTTTTTACAAAAAACCTTTGTCATTTTTGTTGTCCATATTTGACTTATTGTGTGTTATGCACCTTACTTATATGTAAAACTCATAATTATCATGGGCCCTTTTACGTCCCCACGGCATGGACTCAGGCCTTCCATATGGAAGGTCAAGGACGATGGGCTATACCCTCCACGCTCTCCTAGTGTTGCGACTCGAGTAGGATTTCGTGACTCGAGTCACTCGAACCAAATAACTACCTCACTCAAGTTATACTCGAGTATTCGAATGACTCGAGTAAAAGATTTGATTTTATGATTCGATTGAGATTCAGTCCTTAATTTGGATCGGAAGGTATTAACGACTAACGTCGGGAAAGCTCGAGGTAATCATTTTTTTGGTCCCACAACTACAATGCAATTAATAAGTAAATTTTTCCGGAATTATGTGAATAGACGCGATATTCCGCTTACCTAGTAATTAAAAAAAATGACAATGGGAACAACATCGTCATCCTCCTCACCCGCCAGGAACTCTTCACACTCAGGATGCTAAGCCTTAGCTGGAGCTCGAGTGCCCTAAATCATTAACACCCATTTTCACTAAAAAAAAGCCTAATATTACGGATCTCCAAAGCAGATTAGTTTAATTCCAAATAAATATTTTATTATTTTATCCCTTGATATATTTATGACCTGTCATATACGCAAATGCCTAGCGGAAGAAGCCGCATAACAATTATCATAACTAGATATTGCATAATTTTGTTAGGTTGTTTCTAGTAAATGGTAAAATGCATTTTTACCTAAGGCGATTTCTAAATATTAAGATGACAGATATGGGTGACTCCTAAGTTTAGCAAGAAAAGGTGATTCTCATCGATATAATCTACGTAATAATGAAAAGTTACGTCATCCAAAGGTAAAACTAAAAAAGTTCAAAAACAGGGTATTTATCTAAAAATAATTATGTATAACAAATTACCTTTAAGTATTACAAACAAAAACCACAGTAGCTTTAAAAGTATTCTGAAATCTTTTTTTGAGCAAAATCCTCTCTATTCCTTGAATGAATTTTTGACGATGCGTATAAGCGAATCTACTTTTATGACATGATGTAATTAGATACTGTAAGTTTTCTTTTTTTTCTCTTGAGATTAAGATTTAATTGAACTATAAATTGTGAACTGACATACCTTGTATAACAATATTGTTATAAATGGCTAATAAATAAATTGAAATTGAAATTGAATTAGTGAAAACGGGCATTAGTTTCGTATACCAATCTTGCCAATCATAATACTGATCATACATAAACTTTTTATTTATAAGTTTGTGATTTTTATTCCAGTTTTTAACATCGTGTACCTACTTACATCATAAGTTATTACTTTACCGTAATCAATTTCGTAAATCAAATAAAAAATACTAAGAAATTCGATAATTGATTTATGAAACAAATATTAGTATTGTACCAGGAATCATTAATAAGAATGAGCATTTAATTACAAACAAATATTGGTATAATCGCTTCTTATAAACATTTGAGCAAATAAAACAAGTTATTGGCTTGGTTGTGGCGCCAGGCGTTAATTGAAATTAAATTAAATTTTCTAGAGAAAAGAAAAGTATTAATTATAAATAATTATTTGATGAAATGAAACTAGTCTTATACAAACTACACTATGATTATAATTAACCAACTATGATTACAATAAGACTTTCTAAATGTGTCATTCAAACATTAGTAGATATATATGTAGTTAATAAATGGAATTGTCACTATAAAAATAAACATAATATATAACATATCAATAACAATACTTACACAAAATAGTTTCCTATTTTACACAAAGTGTATAGATTTTGGATCATACCTAAACTGTTTTTATATAATTATGCTGCGGTCAAACAACCAATTGAAGTTTTAAATATCATAATTCGCATAATTTGCACTTAAATCAATAATCGTGCATTACCTATTAACCGATTACACAGATCAGACAGATTTTTAAAAAATTCAATACTAAATTAATACTCGTATCCAGCGGTAATATCTTATCCAGTATACCTCAGGGATCACATCTCGAACCGATTCTATTTAATATTTTCATTAGTTTTGTCAAACTATATAAAATTAGCATTTAATTTTGCTTTATTAGCTCAATTACCTCAAATAGTACTTCTCATAATGATGATGTAAGACAACCTTAACAGCCTAGATCAGAATAATAAGATTAATACTTAATCAAAATTAACTTTAATTCCGCTAATGTGATACAAAGACCATTATGAATACTTCGTTTATTAAAATCTAAAGTGACAGTATTGAAAAATACATAAGCTTCGATAATTTTTTGTATGACAAACACTCTACGCTTCTCACTCTTTACCTGCAAATAGAAAAAATACAAACGATATTTTAAGCCACCTGTCGAAGTCTAAAGATATTGCAAAAAACACAAGGTAATGTGGTAAAACTAAAATACTTGCCTCCTAAAGCAAATTGACGATGACAGAAGAGAAAACGTCAAATTGAGACGTGTTCACTTATTTTGGTCGGATAATTTACCAAAGTTAGTACTTCTTTTTTAAAACGGTATTTGTTATTTCATAACTCAAATACGTTATTATTGATTCACTTTAAACGCACTCTTCAGGGATAATTATGGGCCCTTTGAGAAGCAGAACGATTATTTTTTTAATATACTTCACCATTTTGATTTTTAAACCGAAAAATAATCAACATTTTATTATACTTAAAAAAGTAGCCAAAGAAGTCTCAAGCGACTAAAAGCACTCTTGATGCAGCCGTTACATTATTATAATGTTAAATTACATTCACAATAATAATCTTTAATCCTTTAATGATTATCGAACTGAAATAATAACCATTATCCTAGTTTATTTAAGCAACATGTGTTAAAATATAATGGATGTTATGAATTATGGGCTTTTCTATACAAACTCTGCGGGGTTTCTGTAATAAGGTACTACGATGAATGGGTGTCGAGTGCTGTGGCGGCGATTTTCTGTGGTTTCTAAGGGCCTTAAGTATTAATATAGGATGATAGGTTATTTATTTATTATAATTTATATAAATATGAGTGGGTAATATTCGTAGATAAAAACGGAAACTTATTATTTTTACAAACTAAAATTAGGTTAAAAAATAATAAGAATATTCGTAGTGGTTGCCGCGTTTTTTTTACTACTTTACTCTATGCCCTATTGATCGGTCTGTTGATTTCGTGCCGTTTACTCTTTGCATAAAAGCGTCATACCCACTGTATATAATTTTGTAAACATTTTTCAAAGTCAAAGTTTTTTATGATTTTTTCATAGGTTTTTTTGTTAACATTAAAATACTTCGCTACCACTAAGCTGGAGCGAAGTAATCCCAATACAAGTATTATAAATACATTATACGTAATATTATTATGATGATGATGATATTAATATTATTATCTTTCTTTGCATAAAAGTATATAACAGCAGCTAATAGTGCGTAACAGAACTTTTTACATTAGCGCATCAATGTTTTTTGAACGCACTTTTGGACCAAAGCCTACACTTTTTATATCGGAATGGTATTGTTAGTTTTTTAATCACTTGATGGTTTAAAATTTTTGTTTTATTTTGCTAATAGTTAACTTATCAATATTATGTAGCGAATATTTTGTATTTGACAATAATACGACGTTCTTTTAGGTGGGATCGAGTGAGTGCCAAGACATTACTGCATTTGCAAAAAATATAAAATGAAATTCCATGAAAAAATGATAATATAGGTATGAGTCCGCAGATTATTTGTTTTTTAAGTTTTGAAAGTTATTAAAATAAAAAAAAATTAAAAAAAAAATGATTACAAAACTAAATATATCTTTAAACAATTTCTTGCATTTTGCAACAAAACTCAAGGTAAGAATATCTACCATTTTATTTTTATTATAAACATAATTTAACTTAGAAAATTCTGGAGATGCTAAGTCTATTTCACTGAAGTTTCAAGTTCGATTTGCGACATTTTGTCCGTACTTTCCCTTAAGTATTTTATTACAGTGAAATCAATGCGTGGATATGATATTGACTTCAAAAAACACCTACCTATAGTTATATCATATCATATTGCAACATACACCTAAGTTTCACTATCGATAACATTATTTCTATGCCAGTTAATTTTTTATAATACAATATAAAAATAAATTATAAAGTATTTACGCATTTGCCTTTGTTTTCTATAATTGAGAATGAGTTACTCAATCTTCGATTCTTTTTTGTCGTCTGTTTACACAAAAGTGAATTTATTCGAAATTTTATAAAATTATTTAAAAACATTGCTTTTGCATTTTTATTGCTAAATAAATTTCAAATGTTATATTATGTATTATTTTTAAATAAAACTTCAACAAAACTATCTAATAACATATAATTATGGGTCCATATGCAGTAAAGATAAACTATTATAAAGATTTGTCAAAATCAGAGATTATCTATACCAATATCAACGCTTATATACAGTATTACAATAAAACTTACCTGTTTGTCTGTCTGTATGTCCGAGTATGTTGTCAATGGTGTAAGCTGTACCCCGACGATTCGATTCCGACATAATGAACGAATCCGCACGAGACAACAAAGCGAGACGTTTTACTTATTTAGAAATCCGATTCGTTTAAAAAAAAAACAACAACAAAGTATCCAAAATGTTCTTAAACATTCACGGAACTCACAGTGAAAAAAAAAATAAAAAAAATATTAGCACTTTTTTAAAATAAATACTTAAAAACAATAACACTTCACAAAAAAGTTAAAAAAAATAATTGTTTTCTTATTAATAATGTTATATGTAATATGATTAGACACTAATAAAATAGATCAGTAACATGTAATCGGAATGTTATTTTCGCAACTTAAACCCGTAAACGACTGTGGGTCTCTGGTGCCCAATCTAAACTTAAACTGTCACTAAAATGACCCCAACCAACTCTATTACGTACCGCCTGTTAAATAATAGCGACTAACATGATATACGGTTGTCTCACTCTATCGTACTCGATTATGAATCGTATTATCTCGTGCAGCAACCCCACCCCTGTTTCTGATTGGACGATTCTAAGGGTGGGGTTGTGAAAAGTGATATGATCGCGGCAAGTCTAGTAGATTGTTCGGACCACTCATAGAGAGCGGTTGATAAACGCGCTATCATAGAATGCTTGTTCGTACAAAAGTATTTTATACGTTACAATTATTGTAATAATCTAATGATAGTATGTTTAATCGAAATGAAATTAATACCTTACTTCCAACGAAAGGTTTCGGATGTGAAACCCGTATCAGGCACCGGACGGGTTAAAGTTTTTAAGCATTTTTCTATACGATTAACATTTTTTACTTATACAATATTTTACATTATGTACAAATGATGTTTAATCATTTTACTACCTGGTTTTTTTTATATTTTTTCCTACTTAAGGTATATTGTTTAGCCAGTTTGATATTTTAGGCTACGCTATTGTATTATGTTTACTTGTAATAACAGTGATAAATATAAAAAAAAAAACTAAAAAGATCCTTCGGTAATATACGTAGTAATTTTTTGTCACTAAATGAAAATTCTCAGATTACCAACTAAAAAAAATTAAGTAGGTTATAATTATATTATTTTAATTAAATTTTAAAAAAATTTATGGTATTAAAATAAAAAAAGGATTTTCACCAATTTTTATCTTTAAAATTATAAATCTATTAAGGTAAAAATACAATTCGTTGGAATTATTTCTTTATATCCTTAATAGCTGTTGTACCGCGACTTCCCGCGAGTAAAATATAGCCTATGTCTACCGCATATTATATAGCTAACTGTAAGTAAAAGAATTCTTAAAATCGGTCCGGTATAGTTTCAAAGTCTATTCGATACAAACAAAACAAATCTTTCCTCTTTATAATAAAAGTATAAAATAGTAGGCCAAAAAAATTCAGAGGATTCGAAAGAATTTGTATAATAAGCTAAGGGGCCATCCATTAATTACGTCACACGTGAAGGGGAGGGAGGGGGTCGACGAAGTGTGACATTGTGTGACAAGGCGTTGGGAGGGCTCTAAATTTCGTGTCATCACATTTCAAAATCTATTATAATCTAAATGTTAAAACACGAACTTGCAAAATATGTGACATCGCACTAGGAGGGGGGGGGGGGGGGGGGAGTCTTACAAATATCAAAACGGGGGGAGAGGCAAAAAATCATGAAAATCGTGTGACGTAATTTATGGATGACCCCTTATTTGAATAAATAAGTAATTTCGATAGTGATTCAGGCAATCAGTCTGAGATTCGCAAAGACCTGTTATGAGATGGGTAATAATTTTTGATCTCGAACTCCTCCGGTTAGTCTCAATGGTGGGTACATTTATAGGCTGCTGATAATGATGACTCCTTCTATGATATTAAAATGTTGGTAGGATTTTAAAGAAGAAGGAAATATTAGAGTCAGCATGTTTTCTACACAGAAAAATACTTCATAGGTAAAACCAGGGTAAGGCTGGATACTTAAGTCACAATGAGTTTTATGTATCTACATAAATGATGAAATTCTTGAAAAGGATAATAATATTACTTATTACTGTCCTTTTGTAGCCGTCTATGGCTACGCGTCAGGTTACCACAATATGTCAAATATAATCAAATGATTTAGAACTCTACATATAATGCATTAAGGTTTAATATTAACCTGAGAAATTTTGTATACTGTTGACTGTACACGAGCAACAAAAAATGAAATAAACGTTTAAGTAATCCGGAGCCGTCTCATCTCACCCGTTCACGTGCATGACGCATAAACCATGTAACTATCGTGAGACTAACTGTTAGTTATAAGTATCCAAAGCTAGGAATTTTCCTTCTTAATGACGTTCAATCTAATTGTAATATTAAAGGATTTTGTCATGAAACTACGAAATACAATTCTAAATAATTAATCATAATTTATTGCATTCTGAAGTCATAATTGGAACCACTGAACGCTTTAAAGGACCACAAGTAAACAATAGTTTTCGCTGAGAAGTGATTTATTACCACGTTACTCGTAATTGTGTTCTTAATTAAATATTATATTCGACTCTACAAAGTTTCCAAGTCACTAATGAATAGTCTTCATGATCGATATTAGTTCATGTGAAATCGGATCTTATATTCGCCTTCTATCTCGTATTTTTGTTTGTTTATATTTTATTTTTATCACTACATATAGATATATACACTACATACTGTGGACTGTAGATCCGTAGGTCGTTGGGTCAAATCCGGCTCGAAAGACCACAAAATGTTGGAGATTAATGAATGAAACGACACTTGAACTGTTCACCACACTATATTGTAACTTCATGATTAATTACAGTTTTACAGTAGTTTAGGCACTAGATTAAACAGTGAATCAATGTAACTAAATTTGTAAATACGAGAGTGTGCGTATTCGTGCAAAGCTGAGACGGAAAAGCCGGAGACAATTTTTTAATTTTTTACTTGGTATTGGCAAATACTAAACAGATTTAATTTAGGAAAAATTATGTAAAGTATCTATTACACCTAATATAATTGCATATAAAATAAAAGTTTTATATTTACCTATTTATAAAAAACTTCAATCTGATATTAACTGTAAGCAAAACTTCTAAACTATTTTCCTTGGGTTCATCTAGTACTACCTACTTACTTGTACCTGTGGTATCACTATAAAAATTGTAGCCGCCTCAGCCATTGCTGTGGCACATAGACAAAGTAATTGAAACAAAAACTCATCCTTTCTTTTAAGTTAGACTAAATTATAAATACATGTAAAATTTTATCAAATTTTGTCCAGCATTTTTTGAGTTTAGCAATGACATACTTACATCGTGAAATGAAATTTTTGTATCTATATATAGCTTGGATAAATAGGTATATTTCCGTTTCTATATTTATTTAATTATCAGGCTCTCACAACAATGAGTAAACTAAAAGTGCTCTTAAAATTACATCATGACAAGGTTATATACTAAGTGTCCCATTACTTAAAGGAGCACCGCTTGCGTTAATAGATCAGGGTGCCAATTCTACTAAATAAATTTTGTTTAAATCGAATCGAAAACGGATCGAAACCGAACGAAATTACAATTTTTAATGGTTTTTCTATTCTACTAAGTATTCTACGATACAATTCCAGCTAAAATAGAACTTGAATTGTATCGTATGTCACTTTGTAGAATAGGAAAACCATTAAAAACTGTAGTTTGGTTCGGTTTCGATCCGTTTTCGATTCGATTTAAACAAAGTTTAATTAGTAGAATTGACCCCCAGTGCACACTCCTCCCACACATAGGCGTTCCATGCGAGCCACAGCAGTACGCTTACTGCACAGTATCCCTAGTATTGCTATGAGAGACAAGCACACGCGTCACAGCCGAGCAAACAAAACGTCCATATGTAAGAACGCGTTTATACCGGCTACAGTTTTAACTTAAATATAAACAAAAATAATAAAAAAAATATACAGTACACGTTACATTTATAGTATATGAACAGTTTCTTTATAGCAGGCATGGAAGTCAAAACAAGGTCGATATTATTTTGGTATTCGTTACAAAATGCAATTGCTCGCGATAGAGGAAAGTGCAACTTTAGATTAGTACGACACGTATAGTAAGTAAACAGTAGATTTTGCAAAACGTTTTTATTTCAATTTTTTAATTCACAATACAAAAGCGGTCTCTAAAATTAATTTACGTCACAAATTCGTCTTTGGATCGAGGACTTATGAGCGCTCCCTTCGCTGGTTAACTTTTTATCCCGTTATAAACGTAATTATCATCGGCATTAGTCTATTGTGGATCGGTAGTTAACGACTCCAAATGCTACTGAGACCAACTGAAGATCATATAAAGCACGGAGGAGTTCGAGGTAGTAAATTTTTGGTCCTGTAATCGTACGGCCCTTACGAAAGTTGCATACTATACCTCCGGCATAGCAAATTGCAACTCGATTAGAACAGTTTCATAGTAACGAATGGACATACGAATAAATGCGTGTGAACATGAAGAAATTTTGTTTGGCTTTTCTTTTTTAAATGCATATATCTAAAAATAGTGAATTTTGACGTAATTATTAATAATTTTACGTGTAATTAAATTTTTCAATAACCCACGGATTTTTAACTTCGCTTTAAAATATTGTTGTTCATCAGATAGATTATTTAAAAATATTTAACACGTTTTTTTTATTTTATAGAATTTCTACATAGTTTTGACGTACATACCCACTGATCCCCTATTCCTCAATACTGTTCTACAACTTTATTGCAAAAAAAAACTATTTTTTATTATCTGATGGCTAAAGGACTAAATAGAACTTCCTTTTTTTACTCAGGAATCATTACTATTATTACAAATGACACTTGTTAAAACCAGCAAAAAATTGTTTTGTCGAATTAGTAGTGTGCGAGATAATACAAGAAATAAGTATCTATTTAACTTTCTTTTATTATAAGTACCCACAAAATAGTTTCCCACGCATGACACGCGCGCAATATCACATTTAATCTTTTAAGACAATACTATCTAAATATTCAATATTAATCCACCTCCGAGATAACATTGTTAACATCATAAATCATAATACTTTTTTACGAACACTATCCTAATCCTATTTTAGAATAATGAGGGACAATAATGTAGATATCAGTAAGTAGTAGTTAAGTACTTAC